TGATTGGGGTGATAATCTTTTTGTTGTTTCTAATGAAGTAATCCTGTTTTCTGAATACTGTTTCATTTTAATCTCATACCTATTACTTATTAAGCAAAGAAATCATTTTTTAAATCAAGGGAAATTACTCTAGAATGCCATCTTTAGGATTTACTTCCCTTGAACTATCTTTGAATATCTTCGCAAGAAATCTGTTCGTATTTCAAATAAGAATTAATAAAAAAAAAAAAAACAAATAAGGAAAATAAATAAAAGAAAAAAGTGGGGAAAATAGGTTTTTCCTGATAAGTACAATTTCACCATGTCACTGATTTTAGAAATATTTTTTTGAGATGCTAAAATTAATTTGTAAGAAATATCATTTACTGAAAAGTGAAATGTAAGTAAAAATGTTGGCACACACATACCGACGTACACACGCACACACTGCAGAAATGCACACACACACGAACGCACACACACACACACAGACACACACACACACACACACACATATATATATATATACAGGCTAATTAAATATCATTTAATAACATTTTACGGAAGATTAAATGAGTTAAATTTGGATGCATATGCGTATACATGTGCGTGTAGGGGTATATATGTATGTATGTATGTATGTATATGGGTGTATGTATAGGAGTGTGTACGGCGACACACACACACACACACATATATATATATATATATATATACATATATATATATATATATATATATATATATATATATATATATATATATATATATATATATATATATATATATATATATATATATATATATATATATATATATATATATATATATATATATATATATATATATATATATATATATATATATGTCAGCATTATAGCCTACATATAATTATTATAAACTATTCAGTATATCCAATCTTAAATAATAAAATGTTTTGCTACCAGTATAAGGCTTTATAATATCTAACAAATGGTACATACGTTAATATATGAATTTAATAGGTAGCTTTTTTTTAAGAGACACTTACCGATACATATTATATTACGGGTTGAAGAAGTGACCCAGGTATATATATATATATATACACTCACCCACACGATTATACACACATACACACACCATACTCACTCACTCCCTAATGAGCCAAATGATAACACACACCTACAGCAATACACACGCTTACACATATCATACTCACTCACTCCCTAAGAACCAAATAACACACACACAAACACTAAACAGAGACACATCCCCTCACCAGGTCCAATAAAACTGTCAAACTGACCAGAGAATTCAGGATAAAATGTATCTATCCAGTTCTTATCTCAAATAACAACTTAAAAGAGACTGTTTGACCAACACAAGGAATGTTAAAAGATTCATGTGAAAAAGATAAAAAAATAAAAAAATAAAAAAACAAATGAAAACTCCAGACAAAAGTTCATTTTCTCCAACAAAAGACATTCATTTCTGTAGTTCACTGCTAACAGCAAGCAGAAATATTTAATTTCTCCTCCTGATGATGGCCATTTTGGTCGAAACTAGTCGAGGAATCTAAATGGAATAATAATAATAAAAAACGAAAGAATATTAATCTACAACCCAGTGTGTCTAATGATTTTAACTTTTTAATTTTTTTATTTTCTTATTGTTCAATATATATATATATATATATATATATATATATATATATATATATATATATATATATGGAAATAATTAATGATTATACATTCGTACCCAACAATAATTTTAATTCGTTTTCCTTTTTGTCTTATAATTCCGTCCAATTACGGTTGAGTTAATGCCCGGTTTTTTTCTCAATTAACTAAACTCCTTTTATTATTCCTCGGAAACGTTTCATCCTAACATAAATCTCCATAAATTTGGAGATTCTTCGCCTATTTAGCAGTGAGAATTCGGCCCACAGGTCTGTAAGGTCGAAGATAGCAAGCACCAGTCAACTTGAGAACCACTTTCAACCAAAGAAGAACTTCCTGCTGGTCTTAAAAGACAGACGTTTAAGTCCACTACCACTGCCTCTCTTCACCTTCTCCTTCTGTCGTCCTTGTAGTGGTATTGACGGCATAAATCAACCCGCACATTTTTTTTTTACTTTACGAATGTGTAAGAAAACAAAAAGCAAACAAGAGAAAGAACAAGGAAATAACTTTTCATAACAGGTACAATATTTATATTTATAAATGACAACAGTTTTACAATAACTATTAATATGAGTTACTTCCCTTTGACTCTTACTACTAAAATAATTTTTATCGGAGCTCACAAAAAAGTTGAATTAACTTGTCGCTCAAAAAGTTCACTGAAAGAGAGTTTAAAGAATCTTGTAAAGCTGAAAATATGTTGATAATCTTTTAGCTTTAAAGAAGTTGGAGAAGTGAATGTTCCATTTGTTTTCGTTGCTCGGAGTTGAATGTATTGTTCGTAATTGTTTGTACTTAAGTTTCGTAAGATTCAATAACGGGATTGAATAGGTTTTAGTAAGTTGCAGAAGTTGGTGAATGAGTTGTTTGGCTGATATTTTAGCTTGAATTACAGCGAAGTTATTTCGTGTTAAAGAACTTGAGATTCTAACTTTGTACTTCGCTGCAGTAATGATACAAGCGTCGTGAACTCGTTTAGTCGTCGTAAATTCTCACTGACTGGGTTCGTTCGTACCTTCAATTTATATGTTTTTTAATCACGTGATTGGATCCTGAGAGTATTGTTTTTTTCGTCAGGTCAAAAACTAGATTGATGTTATTCGGACGTAGTGGTGAGCAGGTTTTTTTTTTTTTAATATTTGTTAACCACTCAGAAAGCGTCTTACAAAACTCAGTCTGGAGCTTGATATGTTTTGTGTTGCTTATTGAGAACAATGTACGTGAAGATACACGAGATGATTTTAATATTTATTGTCCAATGAGAAGTTAAGGTTTTCAGAAACATGTATGAAGCTGTGATCCGCTTTTTGCACGAAAATCGACATTGATGAAAAAGTGGTAGCGGAAAGATAAATCCTCACTGGACTTCTGTTGTCCACCTACGAACTCACTCAACTGCAAGATTCCTATATCTACAAATATTTTTTCTGATTTGCTGAAATTTGAAGAAAACTGTGTGTGTTCCTAACTCATGTAGAATCAGATTCCTACATTTTTTTAAATCTTAAATTTTGTGCAAGTTAAACATATAGAGGCTCCCAGCCAAATATAACAACTGATGTATTTTGATTGGTTGTAAAATATTAATTAGGTGGCGTCAACTACGTCCGAAGGTACCGACCCAAATTTTGACCTCTAGTTGACGCCATAAAATGTAAACATGTTTACGAGCCTCCCCACGTGACCAAGAGAACTAATAAAAACGAAACTTCGACGCGACTTGGTCAGTGGGCACTTTTAAAATATTGAAACCAATTCACTTGACTTCATTGGAAATCAACACAGCAAAGGAGACGAACTTTATCTTCAATACAACAACAAACTTTGTCAACCATCTCCAGGCTTAACGCTCACTCCCACAAAATATTCCATTCCACAAGAATCTCTGGTTAATGAGTGATAACAATCAGTGAGTCAAGAACAATACTTTTTTTTATTTAATACACAAAAAAAAACATCTGTTTAATTTTCCTACAAAAACAAATATAGCTAACTAAACCTTGTCATTTTCACACATACAGTACAGTAGCTCAAATTCTTTCAGTAACACACACCAAAGAACTCTATTGTGTTTATCAACTTTTGCACTATATATTATGTATTTGTTGTGTTTATAAAAAAATATTTATTGTTGAACAAATTCACATTTTCTTCTACTTGATTATTTCTCTTGTTGTTGTCTTTGTTACATTTGATATTGTAAAAATTGTAGAGGGTCAGTTTTTATTTCTATTTATAACCAATACAAATTGGCTGACCCACTATACTATCAACAAAATTCTACTCGCTTAAAGAACCTTTGAGCAAGTCTTTTTCCTGTTATGCACATTTTCTCTTCCCTTAAAGGACATTTTCTTTTTCCTTTCTTACTCCCCTAATTATCTTTATCTCTTTACCCACCCACACACTTTTTTTTTCTTTATTCGTCCGCGCCTAAAAGAGAGAGTTTGTCCCCTTCTATTCTTGCTGATTTTACTCGCGTTTTGTCGCAATTAATTTAACCTCCACCATTTGATGTGCGAAGGCCGGGACAAATTTCCCAACAATATGTATATTTATTAATATATATTTAGCTTCTTAGCTCTGTCTAACCACATCGAGCACTGTTTTGTGTACACCTTAAATTAAATGGAGTAAATATTTATTTGCTTACCTGTGTATGCACCCCAACGCACGTATATACGGTGGCTAATATCTAGTGATTTAATTTATCCACATTAATACATACATATATACATACATACATACATACATACATACATATATATATATATATATATATATATATATATATATATATATATATATATATATATGAATAAAAGAAAGAACAGTAAGATATATAATCCTGTGTTCTTATAGATATTTTATTTTTACAAAAAATAGTGCTCAATGTAAATTTACAGAGCATTAATATTATAAATGAATTGATTTAAAGATGTTTTTTCTTTACACAGTTCTAACCATGTTTCAAAAATGGAAGCTAAAAGCTCCGAATTTAATTTTGTAATTAAATTAAAGACATTAGTTTATTTTTGAAACATGGTTAGAACTGTGTAGCGAAAAAAAAGATATTTTAAATCAATTAATTTATAATATATATATATATATATATATATATATATATATATATATATTACTAATGTTCACACAATACAAGGCCCAAGAGACACTCAAGGTAGAGGGTTACTATGTAGAGATGTATTAGCGTAAGAAAAGGTAAGAGGTAAAGTTCTTGGGGCTATGCCGGAAAGATAACAGCGACTTTTAAACTTGAAGAATCAAGATAAATTATCATTTCTCATTTAAAAAAAAAAAAATGAGGGGTGGATAAAAATATACAAAAATACGTAC